GTATTACTTTATATTGTCTTTCAGATACAGAATAATGTATCAAATAAATCTCTTTTGGATCAGGATCCAGATCCAAATAATCTGGATCAAATCAGATCTGGATCCCATCTATACTTTTTGGATCCAAAATCCAGATCCAATCCAACTCATTCTTCCGCTCTACTCAGATATTAACGCATGTGGTAATATGATTAGAGTAGTTGGAGTTTCTTCGAGATGTAACAACCATTTTTTGGGCTGAACAATGTTAAAATCATGATCAAATTGAGAGGCAATTCTAGGCTGAAAGACCCCGGAATGCTTACTCTCCCTTTTTTTATCATAATTTATTAAATAATTCTTAATGCAAATTTTTGGTCTTACTTGGACATGCCAAGTCAGATTGAGGGACTAGGACTCAGAATGCTAGCGATTCAGAGCCCGAGTTTGACTTTTTGAGCACTTGACTCGAACTTGATTTGGCTCAGTTTTCTCGAGCTATTATGGATATATTTGTTATTCTCAGCCCTTAGTTGTTAAAATGGATCGTTTATGGTGTCCACAGGTATGTATTGATGGGGAATCATCGCGATGCATGGACCTTTGGAGCCGTCGATCCTAGTAGTGGAACGGCTGCATTGCTAGAGGTTTGTATTACAAGAGATGGAGCTCAATTTGTCCATGAATTTGATTTCTGCAATCCTAAGAAATAGTAATAAATGTAGAAAAATACAATATGATCCATATGAATGTGATAGCTGCATTGACACCCGTCCACTCAATGGGATGAGTGGTTGTGAAGGAAGAGTAGGGATGTATAATTAAGGGGAATTTGTCAAATTACCTATAAAAGATCAACTACTTAACAATTTATCGGATTGCAACTATTTTAGCTCAAGGCCATGTGTTTGTTTATGGCATTCTTAAATTAAATCAAAAGATATGGGTATAGTGTCCAATTGTTCATCTCTCGTGGATAATGTGATGCATTTCTGTTAATGCAGTAAATTACTCAAATGGTGGAACCCCTTGTCTCCATCACCATCCAATCAATCGATGAGATAGCGATAACCTTATGCTCACGGTTATATGATGACTATGTTGATCATATTGTGCCAGCTTATAAAATATATTGTACGAAGTTTCCCATTGTGGTCCAACTGAATCCCAAATTTGAATCTCACTCGGTAGAAATTTAGCCAAGTCATGGAAGGACTCTGGCATAAAGCTCCTTAGGCTTCACCTTGATGGTAGATCTATTGCTTTGCGTGAGGGACGTCAAAACTTCCGTCTATCACTTTGCGTGAGGGACGTCAAAAGTTCCGATCTTTGAAGTTTCCGAGCAAACCCAAACAAGCTAACCTAGCCTCTTTTTTTTCTTATGCTTTGTGAGGAGAAAGAAGACTCCAACTTAAACTTAGGAGTCTCCAAGTAAAACTACTACAATGCAGTTAAATCCTATGAAACATTCATGTTTGGTAGAACTTGCAACAAATTTCAGCCAATCATAGCACAAAGTAGAGCCAAAACCTAGGAGTCGCCTACTCCCGGCGCCTTTTTTTTGTTTAATTTTTTATTTTATATTTTTGCAGATAGCCCAGAGGTTGGCCAAGTTGCAAAAGTGGGGTTGGAGGCCTAGAAGAAGCATCATTTTGTGCAGTTGGGATGCAGAAGAGTATGGTTTGGTACATTGCTTAGCTTTCTTCTTTGTTGGACTAAATGTACATATTTTAATCTCCTAGTCTTTTAGATGGAATCATATTTACTAGAACACTTAAGGAATAAAAAGGCTCTTGAAATCTTTTTAATGAGGATAAATAGGTGAAAGTTTAATTTGTATGGCTAAAATTTGGAAGGATATTTAAAAGTTAGGAATTGGGGTGGGGAGAGGGAAAAATATTTGTTTCTTTGAAGGTTTTATTTGTTATTTATGTGTAATTGGCTGGAATTGAGTTCATGTTGCAGATTGGATCCACAGAGTGGGTAGAAGAGAATAGAGAGATGTTGGGCTCAAAGGTTGTTGCATATCTAAATGTGGACTCTGCAGTCTCAGAAGCACGATTTCATGCCTCGGCCACCCCTCAACTTGATCACCTACTCAAAGAAGCCGCTCAAAAGGTAGAATTGCTCCTTTTATATTTCACAATCATTCTTTGTTAAAATCAATTCTTTCATACCTAGGTTACATAGATGATATAAATAATATGTCTACGTTAAATACAAATACGAGTATCAGAAAAATCAATTTCAAAATTACTTTTACGACATGTCAAGTTCGTACTCCATCTAATGAATGGATAGGTGAACTTTTAAATAAGATCAAGTACTCTTGTAGCAAGATTTCAAATAGAAAAGTTAACATGGGTATCAACATGGGTATCATGTCCTCAGTGTCTTTGGTGTTTCAACACGAGCAAACAGTTATACAAACATATATCCATGTTAGATAACTTCACATATACACCCACACAAGCAGCACAAACTCACTAACCTTTGATTTTGTGTATGAGCTTACACCTGCATTTTAAAATTCTTTATTGCATATCATTTCATTTTTTTAAAAAAATTATCATAAATTTATATTTTGAAAAGAGTGGATTTATTGCTTTCTATAATGTAGGTTTTCTAATATTCTATTATTTTAGGATTTCGTCCAATGTACATGTTTGCATATATTTTAACACTACCATAACTCCAACTCAAAAAAAAAGAAATTTTGATAGTGGATTACATAACTCAAATCTGGTCAAACTTTACACACATAGTTGTGGTAAGAAATAAGAAAAGAAAATGAATGCAACGAGATCATTTACTTTTAATATAAAGATGTTATATTGACCATTAGATTTGAAATCAGGTAGTTGAGGATGTGTCATTGTTTAGGCACGTCAAAATTTCTCAAATGTTGCGACACACTGTCATTTATTGGATTCCAAATCCAATGGCTAAAAGTAATTGTGGCCTCCTACTAAAAATAAACAGTCTCATAGTATACAATCCCATTAAAAAAAAAAAACTTTATATGTAACGCTATTAAAATTCGTTCTTAACTATTTGATTAAGGAAAGGGGGAAAGCTAGACAAGTCCTAGAGTGTACTTTCCTCAAAAGTGAAATCATTTCCAAAAAGTTGTATAGATTAACTTAGTCAGCAAACTATGCCTCCAATCTCAGAATTAAAAGGTTCAACAGAGGTAATTCTTTGCCTTGTTGTAATTTGGAGATGGAGGGATTAATCAAGGCCCAATGCATTTGGAGGGAATTACTTTTAAATCATTTTTGCATGTCAATAGAAACATATTCATTCTTCAATTCTTTGATCCATGGACAAATTCTTCAAAACTTTGATCTACTTGTGTTTTAGAAAAGCAAAATTATTATAACTGGATCAACATCCAAAGCAAAATTATTATAACCGGATCAACATCCAAATCAATGAGGGGTTTGGTACAGTAAAAATACAGCTTGAACGAATTAGATTTAACTTTTAAAAAAATAAAAAGATAGACAATAGTTAAAAAATGTGTAATACATCTACAAACAAATTTCCTATCTTTGTTTGATTGGTGAAAACCGCCTGATATGACTAGCCAAAAGTTGTTAAAACATAGATTTTGACTCATTTTTAAATCAAATGTGATGTTTTGTCTTGACTAGACTGGCCAAGGCGCCTATTGACTCTCATACTACTAGATATGGTGTTTAGAAGTAGCTACCTGTTTGTGAAACTTTCTTTACTAGTATATATATATATATATATATATCTCCACTAACCTATTTAACTTCATACTCTCAACACTAACTTATTTTACTTCACAGGTTAAAGATCCAGACGACTCCACAAAAACGGTCTACGATTCCTGGATTGAGTCTGGTGACCCTCCCTTGGTATGCAACTCTGGTCTTTAACATGTCAGGAAAACCTCTATAGCTATTTTATCATGGGGCAAGCTTTCTATATTTCCCTTACAACATAAAACTTATATATTTCGCCTTATCCAACCGTCCATTCTTAATGGAGGGCTAAGATTGTCCCAATCACAATGTCATGTCTCTACACTATTTTATTTTTTAAGTTTTTTCTATAAACTCTTTTGGCACTAAAGTTTGGACGTCCAATCTTCTATTAAATTCGCACTAAAAAAAATATAAAAAATATATTTCCAATAAAATAAAATAACCAAAATACCCCTAACAATTTTAAGGGCAATTTTGGTCATTATATTTTATTGAAAAATTATTTTTAATATTTTTTATATGTGCGCCCCAATGAGAATGGGCACATACCAAATTTCATATTCATACAATTTGTATAAAAAAACTAAAAATAAAATACTTTAAAATTGGACGGTTGGATGGTAGGAGAAGCATAGACCTTCTATGTTGTAGGGAAATATAGAAACCTTTCCATTTTATTATGTACTGCTACAATAAAAATCAACAATAATGAACAAAACATTTTATAATGGGAGAAGTTTTATATAGAGCCGAAGCTCTAAATAATCACATCGAGTCTACCATAAAAATTTCACTAGACGAGATTGTTTGTTGTCCAAAAATCCTCAAATTGATCATCTTGATATCAAGATGCATGGACATGAGAAAAAAATTGTATTCAAGTTTTGGAAATAGTGTATTTTGTAATGCATTTTTTGACCGTCAATTTTCAAGATTTCATAAATCTGTCGATCTACACCATTTTTGAAGCTTTAAAATTTATAAATAAAGAAGAAAATATATTTTGAGGCTATCACAAAGATTCCAGTGTTGAAACCACATTTCTCGACACTATTTAAAAGTGGGCTCTAATTTGATTCGTTTAGAGCCTAGGCTCTATACAAACCGCACCCTTTTGTAAATTATAAAAGAAAAGTATGAGGTCCACATCATGTGGATGTTTGTTGGGTACACATAGGGTACACATAGGGGTGGCAACAAGTCGCATATGGTTGGACCTGGACCCACCTCATCGGTTCTAAAAGTTGGACCTATACTCATACCTGTCCGATCCCGAGTCTATCTTTCCATTGCCTCTCACTATGAGCTTTTTTTTTTACCATTATATACCCTTATTATTGACAACAATGTCATAATCACTCAACATTTGATTTCAACTTGTCACATACATTGTTTAATAGTTAAAGATGACTAAGCGTCCACATCCACCATCATACCATCTCAAAAAATCCTCTACACAGTTGCTAAATTCCCCTTATTTGTAGTCATTTTAGAAAAAATTAGGCTAACTTTCTTATCTTTGTTGTGCTGTTAGATAGGGAGATTAGGAGGCAAAGGGAAAGATTATGCAGCATTCCTTCAACACATTGGAATCCCAGCCGTTGATATGAGCTTTAGAGGAGGTATAGATAAAATGACGAGGATAGCATTGAACTACCCTTGGTACACATGGATTTTTTTATTCATCGATGTTGGGCTCTATTTTTGGTTTGGTTCAGTAAAAATATAAAATAATATAGAAAATCCCTTAAGATTCCTTCGAGTTCATGCAAAATCTCTCTAGGGGAGAGATTTATGTTCACCAAACTTTTTTCCTAGATTTGTTTTATGGGATAAAGAGTTTGATGAGACCATTTACTTTTATTATAAGGAGGTAAAATACACCCAGCTTTCTGATTTCAAATCGGATACCGTAGGGCCTGTCATAAAATTTGAGAATTTTTTTTTGAATTTTGAACCTAATCAATAACATGCTCACAACCACCTGATTCGAAATTCAACAAACAAGAGCGACTCTGACTTCTTTATACTAAAGGTAAATGATCTAACTGTATAGTTTTCTACATAATATAACCACGTTTCTTGGAAAAATGGTTTTACAATTGCAGGGTATGAATCTGATTTATGAAAAAACCTTTTTTTCAAGAGAGATTTCCTGTGAACCAGACATGCCTTTAACGAGATTTGTGCTTGAATTATTACACTTGATTATAAACAAATTTTATCAATAGGAAAAGAACACGAGAGTGTTGTTTGTCGTCAAGAGAAGTAATATTCATAGCAGAACATGAATTGTGTGGCTGATCCTGGAGGATATGACTCAAATGATGATGATGAGAAGTGACACTCAATGTGTATTTTACCTTTGCTTTTCAATGCAGCTTTCCCAGTTTATCATTCTTTGTACGACGACTTCGTGTGGATGAAAAAATTTGGTGATCCCTCATTTCAAAGGCACGTAGCAGGTACTTAGATAAAAAACATCATCTCTCTCGTCTATCCCTTTAGCCGTTTTATGAAATGATTAGGTTTTTGAAGGTATTAATGAGAATGAAAACAAATGATTAGGTTTTTGAAGGTATTAATGAGAATGAAAACCACAATGTGCAACTGAGGTAGACGAGGTGCTATCACCAAAACCTTAGCCCCTTTCCCATGTGAACATGTATTCCTTTATAGTTTTTCCCACCTTTATCCTTAGGAGTAATTTCATTGGTTGCAACAATAATGATGTGCAAGTATGTTTATTCATGCCTTGCAAAATTGGCTCTATTTACTACTGTAAAATCAAAATTTATAACACCAATCAGGGTTTGGGTTTTTGAATTTTGGATTAAAAATGTCTATGTTGGTTGGACATTTTTCAAAACACCAATTTCTTTGTAGTGTTAACAAATTCAGCTAAGTCTACTTGGCAGAGTCCCTTGCAGAGCCAATTACCTAGAAACAACTCGGGTTGAATTTCTTTTTTTTTTTAAAAAAAAAAGTCATAAAATTAATATTAAGTGGTGAATCAATGTACATTTGTATGTATTTTTTTATGTTTTTAACAATGATTTGTGATTTTTTTCTAGTCCTATGCCTAGTTTTATACTTTCCTCTTATTTTGGGTTATCTAAAATGTCTTCAACTCTAAATTATTTTCTATAAATCCATGGTTAATATTTTTTTACAGCTTATTTGGACTTTTTCTGTTGTTTTTGGTTTAATTTGATTAGCTTTTAGCAAATTCTTTTATTTTCTGTATTTTTAGGGCTTTTTTGCCCTATTTATTGTTTATTTTATATTAAAATTTTAATTAAGAAACTTCAAGTTTATTAAAATTGAGGAAATTTATCGAAATAATCAATGCACTCATATATTTTGGTTTAATTTTAAAATTTTGTCAGCCGATACATGATCATGACTTGAAATTGTTACAAATAGATAGAATACAAAATTTTGACTTACGATGTTTATGTTTGTGAGAATTTGCATCAATAAATTTCATGTCCAATGAATTTGGATCGAGAAATTTGTCAAAAATTGGATTAACCCTTATCAAATTTGTGTGACAGTGGGAAGCATATGGGGATTGGTTGCACTTAGGCTGGCAGATGAGGAGTTCTTGCCATTTAATTATTCAGCATATGCTTCTGAGCTCCACGTAAATATCACGTACCATTATTTTGATTTTTACTTCTTTCCAAACTGACACGTATGCATGCATATACAATTAGTTTTTTTCTTTCTTTTTTCTTTTTTTGTGAGTTACCAATGGGAATCAGCAAGGTCTAAAAAAAAAGATGAGTGATTCGGATCGGCCATTCCAAAACCGTGTCGGATCGGTGGATCAGCACTCCGGATTGGAGAATCTACCAGTTTTGGCCAAAAGAAATTTCAAAAAAATACTATAATTTCTCAAAAATCTAGTTTTTTAGGTTTTTAAACAAAATAATGAAAATTGCATTAAAGTTTTTCATTATTTTGTTAAAAATATGTAAATATTGAAAATTTATCTCAGGTTGAGTGTTTGTTGTCTATTAAATTCATTTTATAATAAAAAAAAGGTTTAAATGCAACACGACAATAAAATGAATCTCTTTAACTCAATTTATTAATTTTATTATTGTATTAACGTAAGAGTTTTGATTTTTGAAAGAAGCTTCAATTTAAGATCTTATATGGATCGTATATAAAGTGCTCATAAGGCAGCCCCACTTCACCCGATGTTCGGTATGAGAACGATGACCCGATGTTCAGTATGAGGCCGATGATTAAAGGACAATGGCAACACCATTTATCGGTGGAGGCAAGACTACGGTAACTGTCGTGCCTCCATCACCAGTAGCCCATTTGGTGCCATGACTTATTCCCTGCTTCCAAACATGCCCAAGCTTATGCATAAAATTCAAAGTTAAGTGATATTCTCTTGTTGAATACAAAAAATTAAAAGTTTTGTATTTTTACAAAAACTCTAGGTTTGTTTGAGATTATAGTTATATGCAACTTCCTTCATATGACATTTTGCCATAAAAGTGGTATTTTTCAATATTGTGGAATTCAGTGTTACATGGATACCGACACTTGTTATGACCTGACCTGACAACAAGTTGCTTGCACCAGTTATAAATACATTGAACATGAGTGTCAAAAAATGATGTGTAATTTAATGTTTTATTCAAGAGCGATGCTATAGGTTCTAATGCATTAAGATAAGGTTCAAATGATGATGATAATGACAATAGTAATATATTTATATGCTTTTTTTTTTCTCAAGTGTGCTTTTGTTGAACAAGTTTGTGATTTGAAAGAGAATTTTTTGCAGTCAAATACCAAGGCACTAGAAACACCAGGACTGGATAAATCCCTAAGCTTCTCTCCACTCTATAACTCCATCAAGGAGCTTGAGAAGGCCGCAAGCAAAATAATGAAGGAAAGGAAGGTATATTTTTAAGCTTTTTACAACAATTTCAGGTTTCATCATGGACAAAAATGGCTGGGAAATTTGTCAAAATACATCTGATATATTAATTATTTAATATTTTAACGTTATGTTTTTTAATTAATTGCAAAATGCCCATAAGATTACACATGATTTTGAGTTGAAATAGTAGAAAAAATGTAAATTGTTCAAAACTAAGTTGTATTTTGATAGGTTTCCCTATTTTAATTGGAAAAAATAATTTCAAGTTCTCGAAAATTTAATTGTATAGTGGGATCTTATATTAACACATGTTTGTGCCAATTATTCCCAAAATTATTAATACTTAATGTAATCGCAAATGGCAGTTTTCCTTGGAGTTGTGGGCCTACATTGAAGCGCTTTTTGGTTCACTAGCAACCCAAATTCAAAACCAACCATTATTGACTTCAATCAATAAGCCAGGATCGATCTCTCTCTCTGGTGTGTGTGTTGATGTGTGAAAATGGTTGTTTGTGTTAGAGGGATCTGTCACTTTCTTTCGGGTCGTGACACGTGGGTGCGCATGAACACGCATGTGTGAGAGAGAGTATGTGAGTGATGATGTATCATGCTAATGGTGAACCCAGGCACTAGAGGAAGATGGATGGGCATCCAGATTCAGGAAAGAGAATGCATTGCTGGTTCGGGATCTTAACGATCGATTAATGATGGCAGAACGTGCTTTCGCAGATCCGGATGGTCTCTTCGGAAGACCATGGCACAAGCACTTGGTAAGCTCCAAAATATCAAATGAATTAGACTCCGAAGCCATATAAATTACACATTCCTTCTTGTTCATCCTGGTGATATGTATCATTTGACGGCAATCCACTCACACTTACAAAAGGAGAATTTTTCTACATGGCTCTATGCCACCACCCACATATAAAACATATGATCATCGGACTATACACGTATAAAAATATGTGATGGTTGTTCTCAATCGTCAGAGCTAAATAGACCTAGGGGATACTTTCAGTCCTAATGTAACAAGTTAGGCTGTATCAAAGAACATAAATTTTTTATTTTTTTTTATAAATCATTTTAGCATGAAATTTGAGTTGTACCTCTTTTTCACATGGGAGTACCTAATAAAAATAAGACAAAAAGTATTTATTATAAATACAAATGACTAAACTACTTATGTAACTTGCGAGGGTATTTTGGTTATTTGTTTTACCTAAAATATTCTTTAATTTAATAGGTTCTCCTATATAAGGATTGGGCACACCTTAATTTTCATGTCAAAATGTTTTTTTTTAAAAAAAATTAAATTAAAATAGTGTTAAGGCATTACATTATTTACAAAGGTATCTAAAAAAATTAAAAATAAAATAGTGTTATGCATTACATTATCACCAAATTATCTTTATTTTTTTTAACGCATTACTGAAGCTATCTCAGTCATCTATTTAGATCAGATAGCCAAGAACAGTAGTAAGATATATTTATATTTGTGGGCTATCTCAGCCATCTATTTATATCAAAAGCCAGGAACATCAATTACATGTTCTTATATATGTTGGCGTTGCACAAAGAAATGTTGCATTTATCCAAAAATCATAAATCCACTAGATTTTAATATCCCAAAGGAATTTTTTTGGAGTGAGAAACCAATCAAAATGAACAAAAGCATTTCTTTATCTCAGTTGCAGATGTGGTTTACTTGATTATAGGTTTATGGGCCTTCAAACCACGACCAATATGGGTCTAGGTCATTCCCGGGAGTAGAGGACGCCATTGTGGAGGCAAGAAGATCAAACACCACAGAGTCATGGGCTTTTGTTCAACACCAAATTTGGAGGGTCTCTAGAGTTGTGTCTCAGGCATCACTGGTTCTCAGAGGTGATTTCACATAAGATAACAAGCAATCTTCAGCTTGTTAGAGATGATTGAAGGTTTAATGGTTGTTTTCTCAGATGACATTAACTCATTAACTGAGAATATATATGTATATATATAGCATACAAAGGGCATGTCACTTCCAATTAAGGGCAAGGCATCACATACTTGGGATGATAATCAGGTGACCCTAGAGAGACAATTAAAAGAGAAATTAGGGCTGGCAAGGGGCTGGAACTAGAGAAAAAAGAGAAATTAAGGTTGGAAAGGGGCCAGGCCTAAAGATAACTAAAAGAGATATTAAGACTGGCAATGGACTGGGCATAATAGGTTACATTTAATTTTAAAAAGTAAACGAGAAAGCCGGGCCAAACCGAGCCAGGAAGGCCCTTGGCCACAATTCATAGAAGCCCTAATTTTTCAGGTTCACGCCAGCTGGCCTCCCTTAAAGATTAATAAATAAAGAACGCAAACTTCCTCCAATACTGTAGCCAAACCAAACAATATGCGAAAATGGTGAAAGTCCAATTCAACATGCATATTTTGAGAAGCAATATTGCATTAACGCTTGATGATTTGTAAAGCTACGTCCTAGGCTCAATTCTTATTAAGGTTGGAGCCCTCCCCCCACGACTCACCCAAAAAAAAACATTGCACTAATTCAATAAGTATATGAATTAATATAAGTGCAAGCTTTCTATGATTCTCCTACAACATAAAGAATATATATTTCCCTTTATCCAACCCTCCATTCTAAATGGAAGGCTAAGATTGCCCTAATCACAATGTCATACATCTACACTATTTTATTTTTAATTTTTTTTGTAAACTATTTTGACACCAAATTTTGGACGTCCAAACCTCTATTAAACTCGCGCGTGTAAAAAATATAAAACAAATATTCTCAATAAAATAAAATGACCAAAATACCCCTAAAAGATACAGAGAAAATTTCTGTCATTATATTTTATTGAAAAATTATTAGTATTGTTTTTTGTTGGTGCGTCCCAATAAGAAGATGGTACGTACCAAATTTCATAATCATTCAATTTGTATAAAAATTATAAATAAAATGTTCTGAGGCACCGGATCTAAGATCAAACGATAAGTGACTCACTTGATAAAAATTGAATTGCTGGATGGTAGGAGAAATATAGATCTTCTATGCTATAGGAGAAGTATAGAAACATTTCCCTTAATACAATTCTCTCTCTCTACTACAACAAATATTTAAAGCAGACCATGCCTCCCATCCAAAGTCAATAAATTTGTGAAGTCATCAAGTAAAGTATAGAACAAACCAAAAAAAAAAATGTAATTTTCCTCTGGCCAGGGATAAATAGCAAAGGAAAAACGCCCCAAAATCGCACATTCTTGTCGGACAAAATGATATACACCCAAAAAATCAATGATCAAAACAATGGATTTGAACCAAATGAATAAGCCCATCACTTTCTTGCTTCTTCTCACTAAAGATCTACAAAACTATTGCTTTCTCTTTCCACATCTTCTTCCTTGACATATACTGGAGGATTAAACTCGATGCAAGCATTAAACTCCTAATCTCGCTTGCTCAAGGACTGATCCTTCCTCTTTCCTTTCGCCCTAATTTGATGATGGGACACCCAAAATTTCATCCAAAAATATTTTGTAGAAAAAAATGAAAAATAAAACAGTGTTTGGCTTGAAATTGAGGTATAAACAATCGCAGCCATTCGATCTGAATCGAATGGCTAAAAAGTGGGGTCACATATAAATTATATGTTGTTAGGGCCGCATAGAAATGTTTTATAAGGATATAAAATAAAATACATTTAAAACAGGATAGAAACTTTGAATTTTTTTAGGGGTTCAAAAACTCATTTTCCCAAATGGAAAATCTATAGGGATGGGAATTCTCAGCCTCTCATAGGAAGAGAGTATTGGCTCTCCACATCAAAGGAGAAAATTGATACTCCCTCACCAGCGTTCTAAAAAAAAAGAAAAGAGAGACACTTCTCACCGTGAATACTTTTGCTCTTGTTAATATTGGTTCCCCATAGTGCTCGAATTGAGTGCATTTTGATAAAGGTCAAAAAAAGAGAAATATGAAGAATCAACAATGCATGAATCTTAACAAAAGCAAGAGACAAAAACCTCCCTCAGGCTTTGGAATCAGCATGGAAAACCCACTAAAAAACCAACGCCTGTGTATTAGAAAACTATTTCGATATACTTTCTTCATGACATCATCATCAATAATAATAATAATAATAATAATAATAATAATAATAATAATAATAATAATAATAATAGCAATAGCAATAGCAATAGCAATAGTAATAATCAAAATTAAGAATCATATTAAAAATACCTAAAAAAAATTTGTTTTGATATAAAAAAAACCTCAAAAAAAATTTCATCAAATAAACCTTACAAGTTTTTTACAACGTTCATCTTAAAGATGGACGTTGGTGAATCTGGGCTCTTGCACCTGTTGGCTCATGAAAGATTTTTTTTAATAATAATAATAATAATGATGATGAAGAATAAAAATAATAATAATAATAAAATAATAATAATAGAATAAAACAATAGGAGTTGTATGGGAAATTTGAAATACGACAGACACAAGCATGTGATTTGTAATTTATATGCCAGGAACAAAGTCAGTTCATAGGATTGCGTGAGCACAGGAAGCATGGCACAATCCAAACAAGGGACAAATTACATGAGAGAGAGAGAGTGGAGAGGGAGTAGAATACCAACTCCTTGAAAATAGTGCAATATAAAATATTATGCAAGATGTTGTAGAATTGTGGAGGATAGTAATATTAAAACAAAAAAGAAAAAAAAAAAAATGGAAGATTGTACCTCAAAACTCATGGAAAATGTGGTTTTTTTAGCCTCCAAGTCAAAGAAAAATTTAGTAAAAAATATCACTTTATCTTTTATCTCTTTATCTTGTAAGATAGAGAGATAAGTGACTTTCTGTATCTAAAGCCCAATCTTTTTCTCTCGCTTCCCTTTCTGTACAAACCCTTCTTTTTGTTGAAAAATAACTTGTTTTCGCTAAAAAACATGGCCTTCTCCTTTTTTACCGGCAGTTTGCCCTAGAAAACGTTGGACTTCGGAAAATTAGTGTTTGGCCATTTTTTGTAGTGAGTTTTCCTTTTGTGAGTGGGGCAGCTTTAATTTGGGGGTAGAGAGAGAAAGAGAGAGGCAGATAGAGAGAGAGGGCTGGTAGAGAGAGAAAGTTGTTCCTTTTCTACCAACAGTTTGCCTTGGAAAACGTTGGATTTTGCCGAAAAATTCGTGTTTGGGCATTTTTGGCGGCGAAGTTTTTTTTTTTCAAAGGGCCGGCTTTAATTTTGGGGGTAGAGAGAGAAAGAGATTGAGGCAGATAGAGAGAAAAAGTGAGAAAGGGCTGGTAGAGAGAAATAGTGTTACCATAATAACACGAGAGGGCTAGCTAGATAATTTTGAGAGAGAGAGAGAAAACGTAAATAGGGGAATTTCTCTACAACTTTGGTATTAGAGAGAGAAAATTAGAGTTGAGAGAGAGGGAGACAATGATATGAGAGAGAGAGTTGGTGTTTTGAGAGATTGACGTTAATGGAAAAAAAAAGAGTTTTTAGAATGTCATTTTAATATTTTTTGGATAAAAAATTCATGATCAAAGGAGTTTAGGAATGAATTTGAAAGTTATTTAAACGTCTTAAAAAAACTTCACCCTCATTTTTTCAACTTGAAATCTATATGGAGGTCGAGATGATGAATTTCAGGGTTATTTGAGCACCTAAACCAGATTCGAGCCACACCCCTTGTATTAGCCCTTTCCATTGGTTAAGTTATTGATCTTATCCGAGGAATGCATTCATAGTCTTTTAAAGGAAAAAGTTTTAAGAGCAAGATGCAACTCAAACCCCTATTGGAAAATCATCCGACCATCTGGACTGAAAAATATTTGAACATGGAAAAAAAAACCGAATTTCAAGGCTAAAAAATAATGTATTTTTTTAACACATTATTTGAACTATTCAATTTCAAGATTTTTAAATAATTATAGGTTTCCTCAATCTGCAGTTTTTTTGCGGCTTTAAATTTCATAATTAGAAGTGAATATAGGAATTTAAGCCATTTTGGTGTTGGAACTAAATGTCGTAACAAAATCTGAAAGGGATTGTATACTATAAGTCAATTTACCTTTGGTACAAGGATGTCACAATTAGTTATAACAATATGATATGAAATCTAACAGCTTAGATGTGTCGCAAAGTTAAAAAAAAATTTGTTTTGAACTTTGAGATTGGTCAATGGAATAAATGCAGTCATCTAATTGTAAATCTAATGATCAACATTAATTGTGACCACCTTGTATCAAAGGTAAATGGTATCATTATATAGTTTTCCAATCTAAAGGGACCACAATTATTTTTGAAGATTTTCGTCAATAAACCAAACAAAACTTACCTAACCTCTTTCCTTTACCCCAAAAGAAAAACTCTCCCCTTGAATATTAACATTGACCACCATTGATTATTTTAGGCCCTAGATATTGTCGAAGGAAAAGAGTGGTCCGCCATTTCTTATAAATATTCCCATTTACAAAAACTAACAACATAGCAATCGTTATCACTCGTGCTCTTAAACAAATTAATACAAAGGAGATAAGTGACTAAGAGAAAGAGGGTTTGTGTTCCTATGAGAGTGGGATATATATAAGTCCGTTTTGAAGTTGACATGAGAGGGAGTTTTGAGGTTGATAAGAAAGAGAGAATGATTTAAAGCTGATGGCCTGCTATTAGGATATGGTAGGGTCCGTGAGAGATATCATGTTCAGTCTGACGATATGTCGAATTGTTTAACTAGATTTTTAAAATATTACTAGAAATATGAATAATAATTTAAATTTTACAAGAATAAAAGAGATATACATTATTGTGTAAACCATCGGGGGATCAAGCTTATAAGCCATATTATGAAGCTCTAAAAAAGAGTTATTGAGAAATGATTAATGCATGAAAAAAGTGTATCTAAAAATTAATTTGATTTTATATCAGCAAGGTCAACAACTGATGCTATTTTTCTAATTAGACAACTAATTGAGAAGTTTAAGACAGAGAAATGCCTCAACATGATCTTTATTGATCTAGAGAAAACTTATGATA